TAGTGGCTGTACCAACTTACATTCCCACCAACAGTGTAAGAGTGCTCCCTCTTCTCCATCCCCTCTCCAGCATTTGTTATTTGTAGACTTTTTAATGATGGCTATTCTGGCCAGTGTGAGGTGGTACCTCACTGTGGTTTTGATTTGCACTTCTCTAATAATTAGCCATGTTGAGCATCTTTTCATGTGCCTGTTGGCCATCTGTATGTCTTCTTTGGAGAAATTTCTATTTAGATATTCTGCCCATTTTTCAATTGGGTTATTTGTGGGCTTTTTTTTTGTTGAGTTGTGTGAGTTTTTGCATATTTTGGAAATTAAGTCCTGTCGGTCACATCGTTTGCAAATATTTTCTCCCATTCTGTAGGTTGTCTTTTCATTTTGTTTATGGTTTTGTTTGCTGTGCAAAATTAAAGCTGGTGTTTTAAATTCACGTCTCCTCTCCTGTTAGTTATTGTTTTCCCTTCTACTTCTCCCTCTCTAATTCAAAAGAACAATTAATAACAATAGTATTTTTGATGATTATTATTATTATTTCCAGTGTAGTCCTCCTCTAGAGGTTGCAGAATTATCTAGGAACACAGGAGGTGATTTAGGGTATAATGTTAAGAAACTCAGCATCTTTCGTACTAGGAGAACCAAAGAATATGGCATTTAACTCAAGACAGGGTACTCCTATGATCATAAAATATTCTGAAATAAGATTCCAAATTATTACAATGATAAAAATCACAATTCTAGATCATTACACAGTGTGAATCATGATTTAAGTCCAGAGTGGCTAAGTGTACAAGGCCAAGAGCTAGGCTGCAATTCACAAGTATATCCTCTGGGATAGAACAACATGGAGCCTTGGACTGCCGGGAAAACAACAGGGACTCAGAGACACTGTAGCACAGCCACTGGGAGGGGTTGGGGAGCTCTTCTAGGTTCCGAACAAGGTTCACACCTGCAGTCCAGGGTCAGACCGGGGTGGGGTAGAGAGCTATGCGGTCAGCAATTTTTCCCCACCCCCCTCCCTGCCTGCTGACCCTCAGAAAGTCTGATAAAACTTCCCAGGAGCCCAGGAAGGATTCTGGTCACAGAGTAAAGTGGGGCCTGCTGGGTACCCCCAAGGTAAGTTATTTTCTCAAGTGCCAAAAAAGCTTTCTAGGAGACAATTTGTATGAAGAGTCAAAATGAGGCCTTAGGATGTTATCAAGATGCCAATTATTTTGACTTTCATCACTGCCCCTGTGAAAGCACAAAAAATAATGGGTCCTCAGAGGCACACTAACTCACCCCGGTACTTTAAGGAGACAGTTCTGGGAATACTCAGGCAGTAAGAACACCAGGAAAATGCTCAGGGTGAGGGAGGAGAGAGGCCTTTAATTGTCCTGGGTGAGCAGCAGCCATGCTACCAGCCCTCAGAGAACCACAGTAAATCCCCATCATCCTCAAAATATGCTTGGACCCTGGCCTTTCCCAGGGCATGGCAGAAATTACCACGCCTCAGCACCTGTGTGGGGGATGCCAAGGCTGGGCTGCAGACTGTGCGATCCTGGTAGCTGGAGGTGAGGAGGGAGAGATGGCAGCTTCTCAGGAAGAAGGTAGAGGAAAGGCAGAGGGCTGTGAATGGTAAGGGGCCTGCTGGTAGCAGAGACCCTGGCTTTGGAGAGAACAGCAGGAGCTGACCAGTGATGGAGCTGCCAGGTGGGGCATTAGGAAAAATCGCGTAAATTTAAGAAATTACTCAGAGCTGATGGGAGGTTGCAGGCCCAGAGAAGAGAGAGGTTCTTGAAGATTTCTGAGAGCTGGAGACTGCTAGGAATGCTTGTCCTTAGGGTAAGACCCAGGGAAGGTGAAGATCTAGAGAACAAGAACCCCAGAGAACCAAGAGTTGGCAAGGAGGAGCTGGGGGACCTCGGGGTCTGCTGATGCCTAGTGTGAGCACACTGCACAGCACAGTTTTGCACTAAAACCAAAGACCCAGAAGGGAAGAGCCAGAGAGAGTGGTAGGTGGTATCTGGTAAATACCTGAGTTCTGGTTTCCGGTTTGTTCCCAGGCGGTCCCCACGTGCTTAAGTGGTTTGGCACTCCCAGCCCAGAAGGAGCCAAGTGTTGCACTGGGAGAGATGTCCCAGGAGATGCAAAGCAAAGGCATTGTCTGAAGGAGAGACTGCCCTGGTTTGGGGGCTGGGGGCAACAGAAGGTCTACAGCAGGAGACCAGACAGGAGACGGGACGCTGATGACCCGAACAGGCGCTGTGGAGCACCCAGGATGAGGTGAGAGGTGTACAGCATAGCAGCCAGACCACAGCGACCTGGGTGGGTCTGGGCCATTGCCCTCTGTCATCCTCATCCTCTCTTAGTGACTTTTTCTCCCAGTGTTCCCAGGGAAAGGCTCAGCCATGCACTCAGTGTCTTTATATTGCTCTTAACTCTCCCAATCCTTGTAGCTTTAAACCTTTTAACCTAGCTGAGAAATGGATGATTCTTCCCCAGTGAAAGGAGAGAATTGGAACAGTGAAGACCAGCCCTCTTCTTGCCCCTGTTGTCAATGAACGAGTCATTTCTGTGCGGTGGGGGAGGGGCTAGGCCAGGTGAGGGGACGCCTGCTCTGACCTTCTCTCCATTCCTTTCTTTCCTTTTTTTTTTTTTTTTTTTTTTTTGGTATGCGGGCCTCTCACTGTTGTGGCCTCTCCCGTTGCGGAGCACAGGCTCCGGACACGCAGGCTAAGCGGCCGTGGCTCACAGGCCCAGCCGCTCTGTGGCATGTGGGATCTTCCCAGACCGGTGCACGAACCCGTGTCCCCTGCATCAGCAGGTGGACTCTCAATCACTGCGCCACCAGGGAAGCCCCCTTTCTTTCATTTTAACTCCTTCCATCCTTCTGCCTTGATGACTCCTAGGTCGTGGAGATCCAGAGTGTATTTTTGTCTAAATCTCCCCAGTTGAGTTCTTTTGGGACCCACTCTACCCAAACATTGGAATGGCCACCAGGCTGATGACCTCCATCACTCAGGAGACTTAAAGAATGAACTGTAATCTGGGAATTGCACACGTAGGTGCACACAGGCTACAGTGGCACACTTCCTGTCCCGTCAAAGAAGTACTGATTTAGTACTTTAGTAAACTGCATTTTTGGAAGTGTTTCACTACTGAGATGATGCAAATCAAACTGACTAGGAGCACAGACCCTGAAGCTGAGCCTGCCAGCATCTTACTTCCTTTACCCAGTGGATGGTTCCAACTTAGAGAGACCAACAGGACACAGGCTCCATCCTCACTTTGCAGTCTCCTGCTTAGAGCTCTGGCTCTTAGAAAGCAGCCAAAGTCAGCATAGTGAACTAACCGATCATCCAACGTGTGTATGTGTGTGTGTGTGTGTGTGTAGCACGATTGATCGATAGATCTAAATACGTTTTAGGTGTGTGTGTGTGTAAAAATACATAGATAGAAAGTTTTATCAAGTGCCTGAGTGTCTCATTTAAAAAATTGATGCTCTCCGGCTCCTTTGCATTTGTGACTACACAGAATCTGACAGTGACAGGGGTGGGTCAACAGAGGATCAGACTCTGAGTGGCTAGCTCCTAATTCACCTAGAAAGGGCAGTTTCTGGTGATGAAAAAATAAGAGTCAGGGAGGCAGAAGACCCAGGTTTGGTTTCAGCTCTGCTTTTTTGTGTAGCTGTGTGATTGTAGGCAAAATGCTGAACCTGAGCCTCAATTTTCATCTTGGAAAAATCAGGGTGACTGTGTGTGTGTGTTGTCCTAGGAATTCTTAATATGCCTTCCAGAATTACAAATGCTATGACTATATTAAAATTGACCAAAGTTAGGAAAGTTATTGATTTTCCCCTGCTAGTTACCACAGGGTTAGAGAAAAGAGCAGTTCACAACCTACCTTGCTTTGGGGTATAAGAAGGTTTACAGTGACGCATGAGGCTAGCGGATTTGCATTATACTGAACTTCTCCAATGCCTGGATCAGGAGATAGAGGAAGACTGCCACCCTCATGCTTTCCTCTCTTAAGAGGCTGGCTTCTGCTAGAGATATCCTGGACCCCTAAGAGACAGGAACAACTGAAGCTACAGGGCAATGACCCAGACTCTCCTCCAGACAGATTCCTGTGAAAAAAGGGTCCCATTTCTTTGATATAATAGAGACATCTTGAGATAAAAGGAGGCTACATACTTTGAAGGTTCTCTTCCACTAGTACACAGTGGTTCTCAAATTTGAATCCCATCAGAATTTGTCACAGGGCTTGTTAAAGCAGATTGCTGGGCCCCACCCCAGAGTTTCTGCATCTGTAGGTCCTGGGCAGGGCCCCAGTTCTGCATCTCTAACAAGTTCCCGGGTGTTACTGATGTTGCTGTTCCAGGGACACCACTTTGAGAACTATCAAGAACGATACCTAGTATTCACTAGAACAGTATGCTGTAGAACAGTTATCAAGTATTCACTCAAAAGTGGGGATGGGGAGGAGATGGAACAAGAGAAAGTAGCTTAAATTTTTTTTAAGGTGTTAATTAGTCTGTAAGAGTTTACCTTGAAAAAATCTTAATGCCAAAATAGCTCAGGCTTTAAAACCAGCTTTTGAAATGTGTTCGTATACTAAAGGTTACACATATGAAAAGGAAGTCTACATGCCTTTTAAAATGAGTCATTTTCATGAAAGACACCTGGCTCAGAGGAACTACCGATTTCACCGTTTTGGCACTTAACTTGGTGTTTTGCAGGGCCTGAGGGAAATGCGTAAAAAGATAAATCACATAAAACCCTGTATGCCGCCGTGACGGGTGTCAGTGAGGCCGAGGGGTGGGGGTGGCCGCGTGGTGAGAGGCAAAAACACTGCCATTAGGGTCAGTAGTATGGTTTCCATCTCCCGCCTCTCCCAGACAGGTAAGGGAGACAGAGTTAGCCCTTCTCTCACTTTCTGAAGATTCCCTTACTCACGTTTCAGGGGATTATCTTGTAATTCTTGGATTCCTTTTCCGAATCAAATAAAGACACATACGCATCTCTGGAGGAAAATGTCTGTATTAAAAGCCAAAAAAACACAGAAGTACAAGAAGAAATGCCCATCTGGCCACGTCACTGGATAGATCGACTTGGAAAAAGGTTAATAAAGTTCATTTTCAGCGGTAACAATATATCAGTGTTAAATCATTCCCATGCCTCCTCCCCCTTTTAAATAAATTAAAAAACAACAAACTTCAATTACTATGTTCAGATACAAAGAGCTTCCCTTACTACAGCAATAGCAATTTGATTTTTTTTACTAAAACTTTCATTTAAAACAGTTATTAAATATATAAAACAAATACACAGGATTTGGTCATTTTCTGCCATGGATATAGGGCACGTGGGTGCGGGGAGGAAGGAGGGCAGGGGGACGCAAAGAGGGGAAAGGGCCCCATTTCCCTCCTCTCCGTCTTCCAAGCTGCGGATCTCACCCTGCAGGGCAAGGGCTTGCATCTGCTTTTCGGAGCCAGAAGCGCGGCACAAACCTGGCTTTTCCCACACGCTGGGGCCTCTTCCGCGGACCCCTCCCCGGAAGAACTAACGGTCACTACTGCACGAAGCACACCGGCCGAGTCTCCCGGCGGGAAAGGCACCGAGAGCGCGGACATAGGGAGGACAAGGGGAGGAGTGGGGCGGGTCACTTGGTCGCCGCCCCCGAGGTGACGGCCGCGGCTGCTGCTGCGGCGGCGGCGGCTGCGGCGGCGGCGGCGGTGGTCCCAGCGGGTACGGCGGCGGGGGCGGCGGCGGCGGCGCTGGCGGTGGTCCGGCGCTGCTCCATGCCGTTGGGCAGGAAGCCGGCGATGATGGGCACCGGCCAGATGAGGGCGGCCACGCTCCACACGACGATGACCAGGGTCATGAAGCAGGCCACCAGCGTGGACTCGATGGGCTTGCGGTTCAGCCGCCAGCCCGGCTCGCCCTGCAGCTCCTCCAGGCTGAAGTCCAGGCAGCAGAAATGCAGCGGCTCTCCCTGCAGCCACAGCGGCCCGGGGGGCTCGGCCGCGGGGTAGGCGGGCAGCGCGGTGGGCGTCCCGGCGGTGGCGCCGGCGGGCCGGAGGCGGCCGGGGCGGCGGCCGCGCACCCAGCCGCAGCCCACGCAGAGGCGCAGGTCCTGCTGCGCGCCGCCCGCCGCCAGCCCTAGGTGCTCGATAAGTAGCGGCGGCCCGACTCGGTGGAAGGCGGCGGCGAAGAAGGCGCGGCCATGCGCGTTGGTGGAGAAGAGGAGCAGGTCGCACTGGAAGCCCCGCGGGCGGCCCCAACGCACGAGCAGCGAGCTCAGCATCTGTCGCTGCACGCTGATGTTGCACGGCGCCGCCGCCTCCTCCTCCGGGCCGGGGCGCTCGGGGGCCCCGGGCGCAGCCGAGGCCAGCAGCCGCGGGGCGGCAGGCTCGTCCGCAGACGACGCGTTGACCGAGGCGTTGAGGGGCGCCCCGAGGAGGCCCGGCGCGTCCGCGGCCCCGCCGCGGGCGGGCGGCAGCGGGCAGGCGGCGGCCAGCAGCGCGGCGAGCAGGGGCAGCATGGCCTGTGGCGGGCGCCTACGCGCGCAGGGCAGGCGGTGGCTGCATGGCGCGCGGGAGACGAGCCGGCGAGCGGACGGCGGGACCGCGGGGACTGGCGGCGGGCGGAGTGAAGACGCGTCGGGCCCCCCTCAGCCCACGGGGGCGGCGCGGAGGCGGTGGCGGCGGCTCGCTTGGCGCGTGGCTCCCTCCCGGCCCGGCGGTGTCTGGGGTTCCCCGCCGCCCCCGACGCGGGAGCCCTCGGACGGCCAGGCGGCTCTGCTGGGCCCTGCGCTCGCCGGGAGCAGGATTCCCCGACTCGGCTCCGCCTCCCGCGCGCCTCGCCCCATCCCGCCCCGCCCTCCGCCCGCTAGGCTCGGAGACTCCGGGGAGGGCGGGGTTGCACGCGCCGCGGCGGGAGAGGGGGCGTGGTCGGGCGGGCCGGGAGGGGTGTAGGCAGCTTGCTGGGGTGGGACTCCGAGGCCTGCGCGTGGGCCCGGACGGTCGCTTCTGTGGCTGTTTTCCGATAGTTTGGGGTGCGGTGGCTTGGCCCGGTTCGCGAAGCTTGCGGACGCGCCCTGGCGGCCCCGCCACACCGCCGGAGTCCAACTCCAAGCGGCGAAGGCACTTTGAGGGAATGGCGTCCTCGGAGGGAGACTTTTGTCACGCCTGAGGCGGGCCTGAGATGTCTCACCTTAGTGCTCACCTGGACCTCGCTCCTTTTACAGAAGGTAAAACTGAGGCGGAGAGAGGGGGAAAGACTTCCCCAGGCCACCCCAACAGCCAGAACCAGAACTCCTGGCCAAGAGTGACTCTTAGGTCCGGAGAGTTTGGCGGGTTTTTAATGTACCTCCAACACAATAGATCCACTTGGTATTCTCACAGCAAGCAAACCCCAAAATTCCAAGAACTCTATGGAGTTGGGGTGGAGAGGGTCGGGTGGGAATGTGAGCCCCATAACCTTGCAGCTCTGGGGTTTCCTGATAGGGACTTTCATTCCCAGGAAACAGCTCCTCATGTGCAAGGCCCTGTCTGGCAAGTCCAATGAGCACGTATTTATGAAAGATTTGTATGTAGAGTCTGTTCAAGGGAAGATTCATCTCCGTTAGGATATTAAGTGGAGGAAGGCCTGTCAAGAATAACGTGCCAAGATCAGATTTATATTTTAAAAAACACTTTCCTAGCAGTTTGGCCTTTTACACTTGGTAAGAAAAATTCACTGATGCTGCTCCAAGAGAATACCCCTGTGGTTTGAAGCCAGTGTGCTGCGTGAGCACCAGCTATTCCTGAGTCTGAGAGGGAAGGGGTGGAGAGAGCAGAAACAGGCCATCACCGAAATGGCACTCCGTCTAAACCAGCTCCATTTCCTGAACAGAACTACATTGCTAGGCTTGGTGGCTGATTACATTTCTGGCAGAGTTATCCATTGTTTCTAACAATAAGTCAAACCAGGTTGAGGAAGATGTAAAAACAGCTCCAAAATATAGGTCGCAAACCTACCTGCCTTCTTTCCACTTGGGCAAGTTATTATTCTGACTTGGCCTTGGCTTCCCAATCTGAACAGTGGGGTCAGTGGTACCTGCCTTGCGGGGTTGCTGTGATCAGTGCACTCAACCCAGTGTCTGTCCATCTGTTCACAGAGGTGCTCATGCGTTGGCTGATGAGATGTAGTTCCTATCAGTCTAGCCCGAGCTGGCTGTCTGGAATGACCCTTGGTTTCTACAGAAATGATGAATTTCCTTGAGGGGATGGGACTCCCTTTTGTTTAAGCCTTCGTCACTTTTCTGCTGGGAAGCAAGCTACCAGAGAGAACAATGTGAATTTTCGTGCTTTTATTAAAAGTTAGTTTTCCTTTTAGACTTGCATGCCAGGAACAGAATTTATTGTCTGATACGGCAGAGCGGTTTTAGTCTGAGCCATGTGGCTGGTGAACAGCCCAAGAACAGGGGCCTCAGGTAATCTTCAGGGCTGAGAGAGGCCCAGTCTTCAAGGGGTGGGTTTTGAGTCCACTGTCTTTGACAGTAGGTGATGCTCTCCAGGGTTTCAGCCAGAGGTGGGAGCTTGCTGGCTTTGTCTGAGCAGCAGGGAGGCAGCAGCAAAGGAAGAAGACACAGAGCCACTTGGGGAGCCAAATAGTTAGCTGCAAGGCTGTGCCACCATTGCCCTGCGTCCTAGGAACCTGAATTCTGCCCACTTTTCCAGCACGTGTAGGACTCCAAAACCTTACCCTCGTTCAGAGGGACAACCACACAGTTCTAGATTGATTTGCTGTCTTTAGGGGCAATTGGAATTTGGGAAGATAAGATAAAATTACGTTGTTTTCGGTCTTGTTTACTTCTGTGTTACCAGCAATGGCAGAAGCACTTGAGCACAGGGGAGAGGCTGTGTTTGTTGATTGGACAAATTTGCCTGTTTGCTAATAGCTCTGACCAGCCACCATTTATTTAGTACTTTCCACATGCCAGGTGTTTTACACACATCATCTCTACTCTTTTCAACAATCCTATGGATGTGATACCTATTTTACAGTGAAAAGACTGAGGCTCAAAGAGCGTGAGTAACCCACCTGAGGCCCCACAGCAACTGGTGGCAAAACTGGAATATCAGTCCAGTCTCCACTGACTCGAAAGTTTGTGCTTTTCAAAGAACTAGTTGTGTCTTGTCTTATTGAGGTTGGGTACCAAAGTCTGTGCATAAGTTAAAAGAATATATGGTGTAATTCTAATTTCATTTTGATAAAAACTTTTGGTCGAGTTTCTTTTTAAAGATATATATATAACCAACATATTATAACAGCATTAGACAAAGATTGGAAAACAGTGGAGGAAACCATTAGAATCCCGGCTACCTGATTCTTTACTTCTCTGCTCTTTTCTGCAATCTTCGTATTCTCTAAATGTGCAACTAATACTTAAAAAAAAAAAAAAAAAAAAAAAAGGAAATTGAAGTCCCACTACCTTTTACAGCCATTATCACTTTGTGTTCCTCCCTTCAGCCCAGAGGGGATCTGGGGTCCAGCCAGGAGCATAGGGCACTCAACATGCAGTTGCTGACTAAGTGAGTTGGCCTGCTGGTTAAGAATTCTGCCCAAGCTACAGGAGGAGACCTGGTTAAGTTGTCTGGCTCCTGGTCCCTTCTCTGATCCATCTCCTACCACTTTCCCTTTCCCTCACCGGCTCTGTTCCAGGCATACTGCCTTCCTTGCTATTCCTGGAACACAGCAAGCAAATGCAGACGCAGAGCCTTTGCCCATGCTGTTTCCTCTGCCTAGGATGCCATTCTTTCTGATAGCTATCTTGCTTGCTCCCTCCCTTCCCACAGATCTCTGTTAAGATGTCAGCTTCCCCGGAGAGGCCTTTCCGGACCATTCCTGTAAAACAGCACCCATTCCCAGCATCCCCATCCCTCTCCATCCTCTTGTACATGGTTCCGTGTCTTCCTGGTACTTATCTTCAGCCGTCACACCATAGGTTTTTCTTCTTTGTTTAATGTCTATCCCTTCTTTGGAATGCTTGCTGCCTCAAAGCAGGGCTTTATCTGTTTTGTTCAATGGAACAGTGCGTGGCATATAGTAGGGGTTCAATGACTAGCTGATGAATGAGTGAGTGAATTTAATAGACTGGGCCAACCCATCAGGCAGGATGTCGGGGAGCGGTCAGGGAATTGAGATGGACAGAGCCACGCCAGTTCCACAGCAACAAGACTCACGTAGCCCCTACCAGCCTGCAGGCCTGGAACCGCCCACCTGGCCCTGCCCTGCCTGGGACTGGTGGAGGAGCCAGGTCCCATGGGGAACCACCTGCCGGGGCAGAGTTTGACCTGGAAGACTGGATTGATCTCGCAAACCCTGACACCCAGCAGCACTGAGGGACATGAGTCAGGGCAAGCTGAATGACTAGGAAGAACATCCCAGATGAGCCCAGACTTCCCTTCTATCTAAGAAAGAAAGGCAAACGAGACTCCTTCCATCTCCTCAAGTCCTATCATTTTTATCAAACGAATGGAAGACTTTGATAAATCTCTGTTTTGTCTATAAAATACAAATAGCAAGTTCTTCTACATGGACTGTATTGTTAGAAAACAATCATGAGGACTTCAAAGAAAATAATTAGTAATGATGCCCAGTTGTTTCATTCTTTTCATTTCCTGTGTCCTTCCCCCGGTGTTAGCTAATTTTTCCTTATGCTGCCTACTGAAGTTATAATTAACAAAAAATCTCCCTGGGTTATTTGAATTCCTTTCATCTAACGACCTCAGAGTGCCACAGGTACAGTAATTTGTTAGATATGATTACCACACGCTGTAGACTGAGAAGTAAGCAAGAACCACAAAAGAATCGTAAAAATAGGACAGAGGAAAGAGGGGCTTAGAAACCAGTGGTTCAGCTATACCAGAGTCACTGGTGAAGGCTGTGGTAGTTGGGTTGGCATGTGTTTTGACGGGGCGGGGGGGTGGGGTGGGGCGGGCACTAGGAAATAGGGGAAGAATTCTTTTCATTCCAGTCTCCCTGTGAAATCCCATTCCTCAGATGGGAAACTTGACTGCAGGAGCAGCTGAAGAGCTGGGCCTTTGTACCAGGCACTGGGGGAGGGCTGGGGGCCCCCAGTGTTCAGGTGATTAGAGCCTGACCAGTCCTGTGCCCTCTGCTTCCAGGCTGCTTCGTGACCTCACCGGGTGGCTCAGCCAGATCTCCAGGGTGTGGATGTTTATTCTTCCTGATCACTGTGGTCAGAAGGGAGATTTCCCTGCGCGTACTTCTGGCAGCAATTATAGCCCACACAATTCATTTGGCAATTAATCGTGGGCTGCCTTGGGACAAGGCTGCTGTGGCCAGCTCAAGCTGTTACTAAGACAATTCAGTCTGGTGCATTCATTGTTTGCTTGTGGATATCCTCTGTGCATGGTGGGCAGGGCCACTGCTGGTATTTCTTTTCTATCCAGAGACCCAGACATCATGCTGGGCTTCTGGTAAGATTTCAGCAAAGACTTTTTGAGGCAATAAGAAGCTTGTGCTGTTATAGGAAGATGGAGAGTATCTAAGAGAGAACTGTGAGGAAGAAAATGGTGCCCAGGTGATAACATATGTGAAATAATTTGAAGGGGAGAGAAATCCTGCCAAGTGAGACCCTCTTTTGGGTTTGGCCTAGCATTGGTACCTTCACCAGATGATAACTGTCCCTTGACAGACACTTACTGTGCTCCAGGCACTGTGTCAACCACTTGAAATGCATCCCCACCGTAGTCTCCTGAGAAAGAGATTACTGTGACCATTTTACAGATGAGGTAAACGGAGCCTCGAGGGATTAAGTCACTTATGCAGAATCACAGTGGTGGAACCAAAATCCAAACCTCATCTGACAACAGTGTTCTTAATCACAGCCCTGCTAAATGGTCTCTGCCATCACCGACAGCCTTGTGAGTTGGAGGTTATTGTCCTGTTTTAATGATGAGGAAGCAGGAGCAGGATGTCTGGGCAGTTGGCAAAGGATGGGTCATCTGCATCTCTTCAGCATTCCAATTATATCTAGCCTACACTCAGTCCCAGTTCATAAATTCCATCAATACTGAAATTCTGGAGGATGTTTTCCCAATCTGGTGCATCCTTATGGATGGAGCCCTGGATTCCCCATGCCTGTTGCTCTGCCTCCAGGGCCATCAGGGCTCCTGGTACTCAGTAAGTGCTGGTCAGGAACCTGGGATTCAGCAGGGACTGCTCAGCTGCGCAGACATC